AGGTCACGAGCAGTTGTCCAAGCATTTCACTGCATATCGTACTGTGTATGACTGTGTACGTGACAAATAAAATTTGAATTTGAATTTGAATAAAGAAAGCTGTAGTGTTGCATTGGTAGATTTTATCAAGAAAGAGGGCTGAATCATCAGCTAAAGTTAGCCACGGAAGCTAATGGAAATGATAACTAAGGAAGGAGAAGCAGAAATGACCTACCACGATGATGGCAATCCTTCCTCCCACATCCCCAACCACAGTAATGGGAGGTTTCTCTTTGGCCATCATTACTGGAAATGAAAAGAGCAGTTTGCCCATGAGAGCACTTCCAGGAAGTTATGCGTACAGTTTCTCACTTAATCAAAAATAAATCTCAGTAGATTGGGTAAAATGGGTTGAGAAAATTGTTTTTCGATTTAAGCTCATTTTCACTCCAAATCATTGTTTTTTCCATTGCATGCTGTGAATAATTCGTAGAAATGCTGCATTCAATTTAAATTTCAAATGCACTTGATTACACTTTCCCTCCATTCTACCCCTCCTACCCCTAAAAGATTAAACTCAAATGGCAAACATAGTACAAAACATGCCATGCAAAGATCAAATGGCCTAAGGGTTTTCTGCCCAGAATACCCAATCAGAAGACAATGTATACAACCGCCTTGACACACATGTTAGGTTGCCAGGCTGTGGCAGGCATGTGGCAGCACTCTGTATATGAATCAAATAAGCACCACACAGTCTTATTTCACATGGGTCAACAGTGGCAAGCACCGATGAGGGTTTCTTCATACACACTTGCCAGTGTTCTGGGATCAGTCTTCAGTGGAACATCAGTGCTGCTACTTTTACATGCACGCCATAATTTTCCACCCTTTAAAAAACATACAGTGACTTGGATATAATTTATTTCTATTAAGAAAAGCTCTGATTATCATCAATACTGTCACTGCATCAGTGCTGACGTCCACTATAACACTTCTGGTCTCACATGATATCATATCACATATCACTATGTGTTAATAAAACATGAAAGTGCTTCATCTTGTGGCAGATCTTATCATGTCTCTAATTCTCAACTGATGCATTAAAAATTATCCTCAGATAAGGATTGATGCAGTGTACTTAAAGTGGAGAACCATCAGTAACACTCTGACATGTAACCCAAATCAAAAACAGCTGTTTTCTGATTACAGGTATGCATGTAAATCCAGTCATTTAGAGGGTTTTGAGGAAACAATCAACTGATAAACAATCAGCCAGCCAAGCCGATTGTGCAGGAAAAGTATAAAGCAGCAGAGAAAGGTGGAGGCATGCCTTGCAGAACATTTTGCTGAATACCGTGAGTCCCACAGCATCAGAAAACCTGGGAGTGTCACATTCAGTCTTTTATTGCTATCAACCAAAAACAGCAAGAGCCATGTTGTTAGCGGTACACACACTTAAAATACATTGTCTCGACAGTTTGTTGATGTGCTACAACATTGTCCTGAAAAATGTCTGCTCAGAGGTTTCTGAAATAAATTTCAGATGTCTAAAACGTATTGATACTTTGAGTTATCTGTAGAAAATGTTAAATCAACAGGTTGGCATGCCCAACCTGTCCAAACGGCCTAACAGAGTTAAAGCTTTGCATCACATTAAATATGCCACCCATCAGATCAGCCAGTAACCCATATACAGGAAGTCTGGACCGGTTCTTAGTGTAAAGGGTCAGTGGCTCTGAGCCTATGGGTATTACATAGTCTTGGAAATGATTTGAGCGAAAGGAGATGGGGTACATCCTGGTTTTTGCTTTGCCCTTGCTAAACTGCTTCAATAAAATATCCTGAATTCAGAAGTCTAAATTTCAGACATTTCTGTTTTAACTCTTTACGTAATCTTGTGAATAAGCAATAAATCTTTTAATACTTCTTACATGTTACCCTCAGGCCTTAAAATTAACAGATCCCTGGGACCTATATTCTTTTCCTGGCCACCAACGTACAACCTAGCAAAATTACCAAGAGCAAGCATCACAAGAGGAGAGCTGCCATTAACCAGTGTGGCTGACAAATGGTACTTAACCTACAAGGCTACTCAGCCAAGCAGGATAGACACTGGGAGCACCACCAGCTCAAGAACCAAGGTCTGCATTATCTGTTGGGAGCATTGCTTGGAATCAAAAACATGGTCCCTTTAAAAGAAAAGCTGGTCCAGACCTGTAGGAGTAACTGACCGATCCAACACTATTCAATAATAAAATAGGTTATCTGATCCAGCATATTAAAACTGCTACGATTATGCTATATGCTATAATTCACTAACCGTCCCATTCACAACATCTTTTGTTCCCGTCGCTGGATGTTAGATTTCAAATGCATGCGTTACTGTTTTATGACATGCAGTTATGACCAAATGTTAATCAGGTTTTTAAGGGCGGGTTTTTTATGGGTGCACAATGTGTTGATTGGCAAGATGAGTCCAGATGTTCAACTACAAAATAAAAACAGAAAGAATGTTTGGTATGGTTCTGGTTTGATTTATGGATTTGGAGTTTAAAAAATAAAATAAAGTAAAATAAAAATCAGAACACAACAAAAAAAAGAGGGTTTTGACCATCTTGTAGAACTAGCTGTCTGGAGTCAAAGAAATGTGGCATAATGCAAACAGTATATCGAAACTGAAATTAACTGGTCTTTTAATTCGTTTGAGCACTAATCATCCACTTTGTTTTTACCGACCTGAATCCAGACTGTATTTTCACAAGATGCAACACAAACCCTTTGTCTATACATGCAAATTGAGGAACCATTTGAAGAGGAATCATTTCATAGTCAGATGTAAATTAATTTTACGGTCGTACTTGGAAGTTCTATGCCAGGGAACGGAGCTTGTTGTTTGCCTGCTATTGTCAACAAATAAACACCACGTTAAACACAAATGCACAAATATTTGACACAACACAACACATGACGCCAGGACTTGAAAAATCCTCTGCTCGGCCTGACGGGAATTTAAAAAGCGACACAACAAATCAGACTGATTCTAATAAGAAAAATTAAGGATGAAGCCATTTGTGAGTTGCAGTTCCAAAAGAGGATTTTTTAAGTCAAGGTTAAAAGCACAACGCTGTTGGTTTTTTGTTGCTTTTTTTAAACAAAATAATCAACTAAATATTGGACACAAATTTGGAGTCATTTGCCAACGACACACTCATTTGACATTACTTCAGATTCAGAGTTAGCACTATAAAAGCTTCATGTATTCGCACCAAAAAAAAAAAAAGAAAAAAAAAAAAGGTAAAATTAACGTGGCAAGAAACAAGCAGAAGACTGCGCTTTTATGATTACATTGTAGTTTACACTTTGTAAGTTAGGAACTGCAGCTTGCCGATACAGCATGAGTCAAAGTAGCTCATCTGTAGAAACGAAATCATGCACTAGCAAAAAATAAATAAAAAACAAAAATCAGTTACTTGCAGTATGGCTGATGGTATGAGTGAGAAACGGCAGAATCGTCAGCTCAAAACAGGTTAGCATGAGTAAGAGCTGCATTTTGTCTGTTTTCCCACAGAAGACATTTTAAACTGCTACAGTAGCTAAAACACAGGTGAACTCTACCATGACTGCATCCCACTGACTTTGATGCTGTTGCGCATGTTAGCTAATTGTCATAGCTTCCTGTGACGCTTAAGCCATCATTAATAAACTCATCAATCCACCTGTGCTTTTTCTGCTTCTAAATGTCTGCTGTGAAAAGGTCTGTTAAATTATAAATACAATGAAGTGCTAACATTAAAAATTCAGACAACTGAAGAGTTAAACTAGGAGAAAATTCTCAAAGAAACAATAAATAATGCAAATCATCAGTGCTGGTAATATCTATGGAGCACTTAAGCTACAAGAAAAATTATAAAAATTAAACATAAATGCTTTTCATATGGGTTTTCTTACAAGGAAGCTCCAGGCCTGTGTGTCCTGTTGTGTTGCGTACACATGGTGGGGAGTGTCTTCCATCAGCCATGTCAGACTCTGAACACTGAGCCTCGCCGTGGATCACAGCCAGACCGAGACGCAGTCTTTCTGCATAGGACTGAGCCCTAAAAATAGTAATAATAATAATAATTAACAATTAGTCCATAACAACATTATTATTATTACCAGTAACAACATGTATATATATGCACGTTAGTTATACATATGTATCTAAATATGCATGCATAGAATAGGACAGAAATTATTTTTGCAATATATATCTGATGTAAAGATTATCAGAAATTATCAGTGGTGTATTGCATCAGTTACCTTTTAGCTGCAGCAGGGGACTTTGCCACAATGATGGCATTTCTGTAATCAGGGATCTGGCAATAAAGAGTGAAAACAGTTTTGTTAGACTTATTGATGGAGTTCTGGACTGAGTGATCCACAGGTCACTAGAATACACACAGCAGAGATCTGACAGGGATCATTACCTCTTCTTGAATGTACTGAATCAAAAAAGGGGAGGCACGCAAGTTGTCCACGGGAAAGCTGAAGAAGCCCTGGATCTCCTTCTGATGCAAGTCCATGGTGATGATGTGTGTTAATCCTTCAGAGTAAAAGACATCAAATAATCAAACTCAAATAAAGATTCTTTGAACAAATCACAGATTGAGCTTTTCTTTTTTGCTATTTTTACCTGCTTTGGCTAACATGGAAGCTAACAACTTGCACACTATTGAGCCCCTTTTTCTCATCTTGCACTGCTTGCTGTAGGGGAAGTAAGGAATAACTCCAATGATGTTCTTTGCACAAGAGGTCTTGAGGGCATAAGCCATGACAAGCAGCTCCATGATGGCTGTGTTCACATCCCTGATTGTAAAAAAAAAGATCAGATGACTCTGTTTGGTGATAATCTAATAACCTTTTTAAATGTTTGGCACATCCTACTATACTCACCGTGGGATGGTCTGGATAATGAAGATGGTCTGTCCACGAACAGATTCTTTTACATCCACTCGAGTCTCTGAACAGAGAACATACTTCACCAATACTTTTTAATACACATTTGTTGTTTATTTGAGCAACAGAACACGGGATGTTGTACATTTACGTCTCATGACCTAAAAACTGATGAAATCTTGTAGCTCTATTACATGAACAATGTGCTATTTTTGATGGATTCCATTAATTTCTGCAACAGTCGTGTCGTATTAATATCCATGCCCTACTCCACAGCAATCCTGTGCCAACAACTTTTAATGCAACTATCAGGAAAGCTCTGCTTTCCCTAATGAAACAGACAGTGGTACAGATACTGATAATCTGAGCTAAAATGTCCAAGATCAATTTCTTCATTGACCATTCATACTACACCAAAACTAGTAAATAATTGATAAACACATCAATAACATAAAAGTTCCTGATTTTCCACTATCTACTATAGAAATGTGATTCAATGGGACTACTGCAGGAATAAAATAGGAAGTTTTCTGTTAATTAGCAAAGGCTTTCTATTTTATAACAACAGGACAGCCTGTTCATGAATAACCAGAACTCTTCCTTTAATTTTACACATTATATTCTAACAATTTACCTGTACACGACAAACAGTTGTGCTGACAGATTTCTTTCGTTACAACAGCAGCATTTCTTTATCTTATAGAAAAATGAACCATGTTATTGAAACTACATGTATTGATCTTATATTAAGATATGTCAGGTATTATATAAGCTTAAACTTCTTTACACTGACAGTAAGCAGTTTTGCTTGTTCAGATTCAAGGTCAAACTGGGCTGTAGTGTCCCATGATATAAAATGAGTTTGGCATCCCTGATCTAGAGGATACTTCTATTTATATAGCACCAAATCACAACAACAGTTGCCTTGGGGTGCTTTATATTGTAAGATAAAGACCCTACAATAATACAAAGGAAAGTCCAACAATCAGATGAGCCCCTAGGAGCAAGCACTTGGCGACAGTGATCATTGGGAGTGAGGTATTAAAATAAGAGGGGAAAAGTCATGGACAAGCTGTTTATAAAGTCACTTCTGGTGAGAAATCAGCTTATCAAGCAGAACAAATTGAAATACCAAGTCTGAACTGAACTTACACCTGTCACTGAAAATTGCACTTACATTATACATTTAATAAAAAGGAAAAATTCAAATACCAATCTGAAACTGACCATTTCGAAACAACAAATAGTGATTAAAAATATCAACTACAGTAACTTTAGCACACAATCTCTAACTACCCTCACCTACTTGTGTATCAGATCACAAGCCTACATTTCAGATAAAACCTGACCAGAAACATTTGGAATAAAATTGCATATAAAGCCATAACACCCTGCTCACCTCTGTTAGACTCCTGGAAGACCACAGACTTCCCCAGCTCCACACCCAGACGCCTGTGAAACATGAGCACAACATGGTAACCTAATGGTCATCTGCCAGCTGCAGAGTTTCAACACACAATATCAGGCTTTCACCACACGACCAATTCATTCATCCACGCATTACAGACCACACTCACTATGCATGGTAAAGTGTCAGCAGTGAAGTTTTTCCACAATTATCACCGACCAACAACCTAAAGAAGCACTATTAGTGGCATTAAATATTAACTAGCAGTCAGTCTTAACACTAACGGTTCAAAGCATTACTTACTCTGTTATTTTCTTGGCTAATTCTGTGCATGCTGCAGAGGAGTTTGCAGAAAATACTCGATAAGCACTTTTAGCGACATTCATTCTGGTATTTAACTTGACAGGCACTGTCAACAGCTCAACCTTATTCCTTCTAACCACTTAGTTTCTTGTCCTTTTTTCTCTGACGTAGTCGTTAGCTTGCTCGCTCGCTAGCTGGCTCAAATTAGCCTGCTAGGGGAGCGGATGTACCCAGAATGACCGTCAGAGTGCGGCACAAAGTTAGCTAAAACATAGCAGTAAAATAAGCATTGCTTATTTTGGTTTGTCAAATTATTGCCACAGTTTTCGCCGGAAGTCTGCTGACACCTGCCTCTCTCTCAGGTAGCAATGTAGCTTATAATGTTAACTACGGAATCCCCGTCGGGTCAGTCTTAACCGCGGATCAAAAAACACAAGTTCAGTTGTACTGAATGTCAGACGGCGGTTTTCTTTAGGGATACTAATAATCTGGTAATAATTTGGTTAACCAAGTGATTACATTTATTAAGCAATAGTTTAATAACACACTGAAAAATATTCTGTTAAAAAAGTAATTTATTCAGAGCCAAAATATAGTTGAGCAAAATGTGTAGTCAAGTGACTAGATGAACTCGTCATTTCATATTATTGCATATTGTCTATGTAAGATTATATTTTTCAGTTTTTTTAAACACTTAACTGTTTTGGCAGGCCAAGTAGGTTAAAGCTTTTTTTAAAATTTATTACGGAGTTCAATTATTTACTGTACTACGGTCAAAGTAGCATAAAATATGTGTACTCCAGCAAATTTACAAACTTTCTAATTGAAATAATAATAATTCATATTATTTTATATTCATATACTACAGGTTTTTAAATTTTGGTTAATATATGATATATGAAATATGTTGTTGTCATAGATCAATCATGGTGCGATTGTCAGTCACTTAAGATGAGATGACCATAGTTTACTGCCCAAACTAAGATAGCGAACTGTGTGAAAGAAAGCAAAAAGAAAATAAAGACACTATAAAGCGTTATTACCACAACTGTCCAGTAGATGCCACTAACGCTGTACTGACTGCAGTTACAGCAGTTATTCTTTTGGATGATAATATTATTGTTTTTCTTAAGAGAGTGGGTTAAAGGTTTGTGAAAAAGGGTCTAAATTTACTGTGGGTGTGAACACCACTAGAGATTCAAGGAGTCATGAAGTGTTTACAGAGGTATGTGGATTTGTCTACATAAACCTGTAAAAATAAAGTTTTTTGATCCCAAAGTTTATCCACAATAATACTCTGACCTGGGGCCACAGGTCACAGCATGCACATGAACAACATACCATCCTTTAATTATGTGGCTTCTTGTACACCTTACAACCATGACGGGATGCAATATCTTGTATACCACTGGTTTAATGTGATGCTTATAATTACTGTTATAACTTGTAAGACAGTGGTGGCAAGGCAGCCATGGTGGTGCTGATCTTTGCACAATGTAAAGGAGCAAATGTAAAGCCCTGACTGTACGCTTACACGAGGTTGACGAGTAGCCTACACGGTTAGGATCGTGCGCATAGTCATGATCTTGACGAGCCAGCTTGAAGGTCACATGCCTGCATTATAATGAGCTTCACACATGAACTGATGGTGCATGTGTCACGGCCTGGGCTCTATAGCTCCTCTTCATACCCCCCCCCCCCGGCTCCAATCAGCATGCACACCTGTGGCTCATCATCTCATCACCGGAAGCATCACTCTGCAGTCTCTCTGACAAACCGTTCTGCTTGAAGCACTTACCCATCACCTTGTTGTCTACCTGCCCAGCTCAGGCCACTTGCTCTGATTGCCTTCAGTTCCATTCTGTTGCCTGCCCAGCTCACTGCGTGTCAAGTTGTGTCTTGTGTGCTCTGCTTTTGATCACGAAACCCAGATCTCATTGTAATGTTTCTCACTGCACACCTTGGGAGCAATAATTCCCCGTCTCCCGTGTTACACTATCCCCCTGTTCATTTCCCCTGTTTAATTGGCACTGCCTCTGCAGACGGGGTAAGGGAAAGCTATTTGAATGGTTGGTTATGATACATCTACCTTAAGTCTACTTTTTTTTTCACCAACTTGAATGGCATACTATCAACTCTGTCAATGTTTAACGCAGAGTTGTACATTGTACCTCCCCTTGTAAGACAGTTGATATTACCTAAGTCACAGTGTCTGGTCTTGTGTTTGCTCTCCTCCCATATTTACCTCCCAGATTCCAGGCTACCTGGGTCCTGGTTGGCCAATTCATTATAAAACAGCAATAACAACTTACTCAAGCTTTTTTTTTAACACATGGAAGCGATATATCCTTATACTGATAACACCAACCACAGCAAAGCTACACATGTTTGCTTTTGAAGGAAGAAAATGAAAAAGTTAAAGCACAAAACACCTTATTATTATTAATATTAATATTATGATTTTTATCTATGCATTTATTTTTTCATTTACATAAAGGGAGCTTGTGAGAAATTCAATATCATTCCAGGTTATTCTCCTGGAAAGTCTGCATGAGGGACTCTAGAGGTAAAACAAGTTAAGAGTGCACCTTTATCTTATTTTACCATGCTGACATTACACTGTATCTGCGCTCACACATTATGTGCATGACATATCCGGCTCCCTTGCTTGGGATTTGTTTCTGATCTCATCGTATTTTCATTAAACACCACCTACAAAGGTGAGGCGGGCAGAGGGAGAGAAGGGGAAGAGAAGGAGGGAGGCAGGGAAGGGAGAGTGTATAAAGAGAGAGTACAGAGGCTCCTCCTCATTCGCTGCTGCGTGTGTTTCTTGTGTGATTTTTTTTTTCCTAGCCCGTTCTTCACTCACACTCTCGCTCAGCAGAGATTCAGAGGTCGGGAGCAGAGATTCTCACAGGGACAAGGGGTGGAAAACAGAAAACTGCTTTTCCCTTCTGCCACCACATAGGAGACACAAACAAGAGGAAAAGACATCAACAACAACAACAACAACAAAAAGGTACAAATTGTGTTTATTTGCCTGAGGGGGAGGGGTGCTCTCATCAGCCCTGCCTTCTGCATGTGCTCAGCTCACTACACACTGTGTTTCCAGATGGAGAGGACACAGGGAGACGGAGAGGTGGACCACCTGGAGCGGCCAAGCCCGCTGACTGACAAGGAGAGGGTGATGATCCAGGCCTCCTGGGGAAAAGTCTACCAGAACTGTGATGATGTCGGGGTGGCCATACTAGTCAGGTATTTCCTTTTCTATGTATGTTTGAGGAAATATCTAATTCACACCAAAATAATAAAAAGAGTACTGTGAAAAATGTTATCTATAATTAACAGGAATGTTATATTTGAACTATTTTAACATCCTTTTTTATGGCTATGCATCTATTTACTCACATGCTGAGTAAATATAGCACGAACAGTGTAATATCACCTATTTTGAGACTTTGGTATGAAAGTTCTTTCCATCTTTATTATATAGTTCACCACATGTAAGTTAAGGTTTGCCTTTTACCCCCTTTTACCGTCAGCGCACCAGCAGGAGCCAATAAAAAAACAGCTGATGCTTGTTTGTTCCCCTGTGCAGACTTTTTTTTTTAAAAAAAACTTGCTTCCTCAAAATCCAGGATACGCTCAACTTCAATGAGCTTGCTGACTTTTACAGGTTTTACAGTCATCTCTTTAGATGTGACGCTCTCTTAATCCTGTTTGTTAAGTTGTTAGGGCAGAGGTCAAACATTTAAACCCCATCTGTGCCCATGAAAGGGGCACACTCCCTCTCAGAAGAGGTTCTGATTGAATGCCTGTATAGAGGGCTTGGCAACCTATGGCAGCATGACTCCATCACCAGCTGTAAGACATTTAAAATCCTCCTCTTTTCTCTATTACAGTGGATACATACACAGCAGGTATTCAGTCTTTCATATATTTACTACATCATATTTTATTGATTTGCTGGTTGATTCCTGCACTTACCACACTTTCATTTTTTCACATTGAAAGTTAAGCAAAGCAAATGTTGCAAAAATCATCCATGTGCAGGGATTTCGCAGAAGTGTGACGGCTTTGAATGGAATTCTTGTGTGACGAGATTCGATGCACGACAGAGCATGCCTTTATAATCCGTTCTGACTGCAGGAGGTGAAAGTTGAGAGGGAGTGTAATACTGTATATATACAATCACCATTAGTAATGTAGTTTTCACAGATTGTTGAAAAGATGGAATTTAGCTGCTGCGCTTTCCTACAGAAACAGAAAATAGTATAAAAAAGTATTTAAAATATGTCCTTTCATATTGTCTTGCTTATATTCCATCACTAATTTCCTGCGACCTTCGGGAATTTGATTAATAAAGTCCGATTGATATCCGTGTCCTGGCAAAAGTCTCCTTCAGCCAGCGAGAAAAGATCCTGCCACCGTGTCCAACTTCAAGCCTAACGCTGCAAATCCTTCAAACTCGTCGGCTTTATGGTCGTCAGATAGGATCTAAAGTAGCAAATCTCAGCGCTCTGTCTCTGAAATGAAAAACTTTCTATCACTTCAGCTCTTCATTTAGTCTCGAAATAAGATAAGGAAGGATTAAGAACCAATGACCATATGAAAAACTAATGAGGCTATTTATATGCAACCACAGGTCACATGCAATTACAAAGACAGAAAGATTAAACAGCACGGTTCATTATTTTGCTCCGGCACTTGCAGAAGCCCATACACCCAGGATTGAAAAATGAATGCGCCGCCTCCCAACCTCCTTCCCTCAGATGTTTAAGTTCACGAGTAAAACTTTAATATCGAGCCATATGTTGCAGATCTGACAGTGTAAATCCGCACTTCCTTTTTCTGTTAGTTGCTCTACAGACAGGGAGGAGATGGGATATCTCGATCCGATAGCCAAAAACCAGATGCTTTGGCCCTCTTCCCAGACTGTGGGAGGGGGTAAGTTTTTAGGTTCCTCATTGTTAATTCACTCTGATACTTCTGAGTGTCAAAGAAAACATCTTTAAAAGGACTATTTGCTGTCTTCAGAAAGAGCGCAGCGATATTAAATTCTCGACCCAGAGCTTAAACTGAGATGAGAAACTGAGTACTCCAACATAAGTATAACTTCGTATCTGTCTTTGCAGGAATTATAATTTCAGTGTCACTCAGAAAGAAAAGGAAGTATCAGGTGTGACCTTAGTAAGCATGGAATACCCACACCCTCATCTGTAATAAGCATGTTGCTTTTTTTTGGAAAGTATGCAGGATCATGTTTTTTTAAGTCCTGACAGGAACCAGAGCAGAACTAGAAACATCAGCCAACAGGTTCCCAAACGAGGAGCGGCGAGGGTGGGTGGCTTGAAAACAATGTGTATGAGGAGACAGGTTTCATGTTCCTGATATTAATTTTTTCATTCCATCCCAAGGAATGGGTAAAACAACAAATATTGACATTGATAACAGGACTGGAACTGTTTTTCTTTAAAAACAATAGAGTTATTCATCACACTGGGTTTTCAGGTACGAAATAGGGATACGCATATGTATACTACCTTATAAGTTGAATGGCAAAGGGCCTTAAACTGCAAATACAATAAGAAGTCTCCATCCATTCATTTATCAAAGCAAACAGAGAAGCTCCCAGAATATCAGAGTTAGTGCACACTTTGGGATTCTTTATCTGATGCTACAAAATTTACTTTCCTTCTCCAGTGTGACATATTAATTGGTTTGGAAAGCAAAGGAAGCTATAACTTCATTTATGATGATAACTATTTCATATTTAGTCATTTAGTCAGTATTCCTCATTTTTATTTCATAAACCTAACCACAGCTGGTGTTTAGTACAACAGAACTTGTGAAATCACTGTGTAAAGTATCTATTTATTCAGCTCTTTGCCATGATCACAGCTCTGCAGCTGGACTCTTCCCTTTAGGTTGTAAATCCTTTGCAAATGTATGGAAACCACACTGCACAGTATCAGTTTAATGCAGTTATTTTACACTAAAAGTATGCAGCACCCTTATACATGCGCTAGTGTTTACTCGTGTTATCTTGCCAACTTGACAAGGGAACGTGGGTTTATAGGATGAGGCTGCAGGCAGAAGGAAGATGAGAATAGTACAGCAGTTACACGTATGTATATATATCGTATCTTTCATTTAGCACTCCTCCTTTGCAGATTCTTTGTCAACTTCCCCTCCTCCAAGCAGTTTTTCAACCAGTTCAAGCACATTGAGGACGCGGAGGAGCTGGAGAAGAGCGCCCAGCTCAGGAAGCATGCTCGGAGAGTTATGAATGCCATCAATACACTGGTGGAAAACCTTGACAACTCAGATAAGGTGGCGTCGGTGCTGAAGCTAGTGGCCAAGGCCCATGCACTCCAACACAAGGTGGAGCCTGTGTACTTCAAGGTAAAGAAAACAGTGCGTGAACAGCTGTGCAGAAAGCACGCTCCAAGACATTCGTAGAAAAAAAACTGTCTTTCATTCTGCACCATGTGCTTCTGTAGAGTCACGTATTTACAGTCAGTCAGTTTAATAGGTTAGCATAAAATGATCAATAAATCATTTTGCATTCACAGGAAATGATACAATGTGAGACAAATGTGATAAATGTCAAGCATACGACGCATGTCATCACCCCCAACCAGTCATGATGGCCGCCCCTCCCTGAGTCTGGTTCTGGTAGAGATTTCTTCCTGTTAAAAGGGAATTTTTCCTTCCCACTGTTGCCAAGTTCTTGCTCAGAAGGGATTGGTTGATTGTTGGGGTTGTCTCTGTATCATTGGGTTTTTACCTTACAGTATAAACCACTTTATATTATGTTCGTCATTAAACTCCTCTTTCCTGCCATAATATTGTGACTTGGTTTTGCTTCCTGTCCTTTGATTCTTTTATGTTTTTTCTCTTGCATGTAGTTTTAAGCAGATACATAATGTACAGTCAATTGTTGTGAGCTCGTGAACAGAAACCAGCTGCACACCGTTTAATATGATGCACAACGCAGCTGTTTGGACCAGGAAACCAGATTAATTAGCTGAGAGCGCCAGAGACTGCTAGCAACCCTTCCCATCTGAGATTCCTTTGATTCAGTATTGAAACATAGAGTTATATGAAAAAACTGACACTAAATAAGAAGATAAGAGACAGCTAGTGTATTTGCAAATTTGATAAACAGTTGCATACATCAGACCAAAGATAACAAGCACAACTCAATCCCTCGCAGTCTGTATATTGTACATATTATGCTTTCTTTGCTTCAACTGTACAAAAACCCGAGACTGGGGGTCAACATTTTCAGGGAAAAACAAGTCAAAGCGCTCCATCAATGTCCTGAGCACATTTGTTTGTGTCTTACTCAGATTCTGAGCGGTGTAATCCTAGAAGTCCTGGGAGAAGAATTTCCAGAGGTCATCACACCTGAGGTGGGCGCAGCATGGACAAACCTCTTGGCCACGGTTTACTGCAGTATCTCTGCCATCTACAAGGAACTGGGCTGGGAAAAGCTCTCAACCTCGACTGGTTGAACGTTTTAAACTTGGACTACCCATATGGAAAAGAAGTAGTAAAATTTTCTTAGAAATATACTCTCTAATAGTAAAAGTTAGTTTTATATACATACATATCGTAATACTATGATTTACTCATGATTGTGTCCATTTTCTGTTTTTCTGGTGTCGTAGTTTGAATGTTTTTTAATGTTGCATGAGAAAAATGTGAAATGGCCACTTTCATATGTAAATTGATGGTATAAAATATAAGCCTTGAGAATTACACATATAAAACAAACATTTACTCATTTTTTGTTTGGGTTTTTTTAATTTTCTATTTCTTTTCCACATAGGCAGGCATGCGGGGAAACCTTCTGATTTCCAGGCTTCATAGGACATTAATCAGTTGACTCTAATGTGAGATACAGCTTGATGTAATCTAAGATCATCATGGGACGTCCACTCTTACGTGTGGTTAGTAAAGTGGGTTTCTAGTGTGTATTAAAGAGGGAGAGACAGAAAGAAAGAGAGGGAGAGAGGGAAGAATAAAAAAAATCAGCTCACCTTCTTACATTTGTACTCTTGTAAAAAGCTAAACCATTAAAAGGAGAGAGAGCAAAGAGGAAGAAAATGCAAACATAGACCCACCAGTGGACTAGAGGTCACATTTGACTTGGATGTGCCTTCTGCTGAATGTGTATATCTCGAAACAGAAATGTAAACAGCATTCTTTCTAAACAGTATGATGTCTTTCAGATGTTTAATCTTATCAGTCTGTATCCACTTGTAGCCACTTTATTAGCTCTTAAGTATACGAGACGTTTTTACATTTTTACATTTAAATGTGGCGATTGTACATTTTTCATCATGGCTCACGTTTGTATCTGTAATTGATTCAATTTTCAAATAAAAAGAAAAGCCTCTGTTTATCTGCTGCTCCAATGTGACCCTCCTGTCACTACACACTCGTGGGCATACCGACAAAATTACACCTTTCTTTTCTATTCCTTGCCCCACTGCTCCCTTATTCTGTGCTTGAGTCAGCAGTGCTAAGTATAAGTGGCTTAGCTGCCGACAGTCCGTATTTATACCCTCATTTATCCCACTATGTGCTCTCTTTTCATAATATATTGTAGGAACACTGGACTTGGCCTGCGGAGAAGTCATTAGAGGGTCTGGTTTTGGTATATTTAGAAGCAGTCCCATGATATGTTCTAAACATTCACTGTTTCCCAAGTTATGTTTGAGCACAATAATATTGAACTAGATAATCCACTTATAAAACAATGTAAGCTGATTGGTATGTTGATCTTTAGGCTCATGTTGCGAAGCTACCCTGTTGCCCCCGTTACATAATTCTGCCTATCCTCAACTGAAAAAAAGACAATATACTGATGAGATGGATTTAGCATGCTGTGCTAATGACATGGTGGTAAGGGTGGGCTGTTTTTAGAACAGCAACTCACAGCATGCTCTGTTTACCTCGTAGTCCTGCCAGCGAGATCTAACCCCCCCTCCTTGATCCTAGCTAATCCTCCATGGTAATCTCCCCAATCATGTGTGAGCGCCAAGGCAGGAATAGTCAGATTGTTACACCACAAACTCTGCCTTTTACCATTCAAGCCTTTCAATGGCGGAAGACGGTTCAGTGCTCTGAACCACCAGCGTTCCCAAGGCAGGAGATCCTTGGGGTAGAGCCATGTGTACGACTATGATGGTCCTCACCACCATTGCTCTCATCCTACGACAGAGGTTCTCCAACAAAATCAAACCGTGAGTCAAACTTTATAAACCCCCATTTGAATTTTCACATCTAGAAATGTTGTTTTATTTTTGCATTTAACCCCCTCATGTCAGTATTTGCTTTAGCAAATGCCTGAAAGAATAAAGAGGAAATTTACTTTGAGCCATTGGAGAAACACATTAAATACCTCATTAAATAATTGACACAAAAACTATACTTTTAGCACATAAAAGCCATATCTGTTTCATATGAGGGGAACAGCGTGAGAGACTGGTTTTCATTGATTCGAAATCAGCCATGTGATTATTTTAGGGCTTGCTTCGAGCAACAGCGTGGTGGATTAAGTGGCTGGCTATGTAACGACAGTGTATTCCAGCTTTTTTTAATGGAGACATGAATGGAGGAGGAAAAAAATATCAGTGCTCTTGAGTTTATGGCTACTAATTGACTTTAAGTGCAATCATCTCAGGCCCCTGGCCCTGCTTACCCACTCACACTGCAATAGCAAACAACGCCAACAGCTACAGCACCGTGGAGCACGGCAGCATCTAGCTCACTATTAAGACTGAAAAAAGCAAACAGAAATAAATGAAACAGGAAAAACTGTGCGCACATTTTCCATCATCCAGATCTCAAGATTTTATCATGATAAAAGTGTACATTGTGCTCTTGTTATGTATCACCTCCCACAGGCAGAGAGAGGAGTTTGAGGAAGACGTGCCATACATGAAGAGCAACGGAGCAACAGAAACAGAGAAATGACTGGGTAAGAAAACGCAAACAAATGACCTGAAGGGAAGCATACTGAGAAAATGCAACACCTTTTCTTCAAATTCGAGAACATGCGAGCGACAGATTAAAAAGCGGCAGACAACAAGATCCGATGGCTTCTTTAGTGCTTAGCGCTGGCCAGGTTCCAAAGTTTTAGGATTTACAATTCCCGTAATTCAACTTACAGCCCAGGTTGTTAAATGCTGTTGAAACTGTCAAACATGCATGTCATCCTTCTACTGGCCTGACATGAGATAACGTCCACCGGGTGTTGTTATTGCAGCCTTGAAAAATGTTCTCTGTTTACAGGTTGTTAAATCGCAGCAAACCTCCAGTGCTCATTAAAACACTGTTTTTAATGAGGAATCATTCAAAAACGATCAGGATTTTCAAGGAAGTTTTCAAAATCCTGATCTTTTTTGAATGTGCTTGTGATGAAGATTACGCAATATGTTTTGTTCTAGGATTTGACAGTGTTTATACAGTCAGTTTTTAAGAATCCAAATCACACTACAGAACTCAACATATGATATGTACAAAACATTTTTGTTGTAAATCGAAAAGAAAACTCAATTCATTAAATAAAAACATTACAACATAAGACCAACACACCAAAATTGAGAATCACGACGGGTGACGGAAAGACAGGCTGATAATTATGAGGAACTGGTGTGTGTCTGTGTGTGAGAGAGAGAGAGAGAGAGAGAGAGAGAGAGAGAGAGAGAGAGAGAGAGAGAGAGAGGAGGGGTTTACAAAGGGGCTTCAGACAAGTGGAGAAAGTGGAGCAGTGGAGCATGTTGGAGAGGCACAGATGCATAAAGAGCCAAGACGCCTGCCCCACATTTGGCTTTTAAGTACTCACTGCTACACTGCTAACACTAAATGATTCAGAGGCAGAAGAAACAATGCACCATCTCTTTAGAGGGTTATTATAAATACATTGCCTTCCTGGAACCGCAGTGTTAAATGTGAATGTGAAAGATCGCTACATAAAATAGTAAACCTGTTCCCCACTGCAGGATGGAGGTTTCATGTAGGTCACAGGCCACCTTAGGAGAGTGCTTTTATGAGGGCAATTGGATTTAGCTGAGTCAGGATGACTATTCCTTCTAAATCATTATTGGCCAATGCCATTCATGACTTTGCAACTAACAGCATTTCAGCACCAAACTGTGTGTTCGCAGTGTTTACAGTTCCAATTGCATAAGTGGAGGAATTGTTTTCCTCTCCAGTGCAGATGGACAAAGTCTGAAATGTCATTGGTGTTTTTTTCTGAACTTCCAGCCATCACTTAGAATGTCATTAGCCATTGCAAACCGGAATTGTGAGTGGAAAACCTCTTCCCACTTTAGTTTATTTTAATTTAGTTTGCTTATGTGTGTCAGATACACCGTGTAGCATTTGATTGCAGTAAATTATTGCCTATAAATAAACTCTCTTTAAAATTTGCAGTGATGTCACGCGTTTCAAAATCATTATAGGATCAATTCCAACAGGAGTGAACTGAGGCACGCACCCTCGGTTAGCTTTATCACAGGAGATAATGAGAGAAGTCATAACTTACGTGCATTCTGACACATTCCTGAGTCGATCTAGTCTAACGTGTGCTGGATTTGGGCTGTTCAGTCTGTTATGACAGAGGAAGGAAAAACCCCACTGATAAATCAATTCTGCAATAAAAAAGAAGAAAAAAAAGAAAACATTCCAACATTTCTGACATTCCAGGCGCAATATTTTAAACATAGATTGAAAGATCTGCCAGATCCTCTGTCATCTCTAGAACACCTGCAAACGCTGTGCTGTAGTGATGAAACTGAAGGAGGTTTCGTAACTTTTGTAAACCTTCGAAAGATGCACGAAGAACAGAGATGCCTGCCTCACATTTGGCTTTTGAGGACTCACTGTTACAACGCTAAATGATTCATGGGCAGAACAGCAATCCATCATCTCTTTGGAGGGGTAGTATAAATACATCACCTTCCTGGAACCGCACTGTTAAATGCCGGTGTAGGGGAACTTAATAAAGTAGTTGACCTCCATAATGAACCACAGCATGTTAGCTTCATGAATCATCTTCTGGAGACAGCTGTTTTCCCACATCATTCATGACTTTGCATTTAATATTTACATTTTTTTCCCAATTACTTGCTCATCCTCCCCTGCAGACGTCATTTGTTAAATCTTAAGTTGAATAAGCCAGAAAACAAGTCTTAATTTATTTTGTGCTTCTTTTTTTCAGTGGCCTCTTGATGTCAACACTTGTTCCACTGATGCTACAGGACAGACTTCGTGTAATCTTCTTTGTATTCTCTCAGTGATCTGATTCTAATTCATCTGCATTTGGCAGCTCACAGTAAGGCTCCCACCGGGAGTGAAAAAAAAAAATAGAGGGCTACAAAAACAATGAGGCTTGTTTTGATCATGCCTCCCCCCTATCTGTCCAACAGATGTTCGTTTTACTGAAGAGGAAACAGCAAATGAGTGAACATGGGTATGTTTCAGCTTGGAAGATGAAACTGGACAAAGGCTGAATTTACAACATTGCTACTACTGCTGTCTGCTTTAGAGTCAAAATGTATCTTTAGCTTGTGAATTTGATCAGATTTCCAGGGTTTAAAGTAACAAAAATGTGCCTCCACACAATAAAATGCCACAATGTTCTTCTCTGATTGTCTGATGTTTTGCTTTGACATATAAAATTATTTTCCATAAGGAAAAACAATAGAACAAAACATTTTCATACCCTCCAACAATATTACATTTTAAATCTCGCGAAATGTATGTTTCATTCACACATGGTGCAAGTAGCTTCTAGACCAGAGAAGTGAATCCAAGGCCATTGCCTTGGAATCCATTGCCTTAAAGCTGCATTCTTTCTAGTGGCCAGCAGGGGGCGGCTACAGTGGTTGCAAAAAGATTTCTGGTTATGTTCCTGTGACCACTTGCAGTCAGCTGCCAACTTTAAACTAACTAACAGGAATAAGACGGCAATAAAACAGTTTGTCACTGAATGGGGTCAAGTTAGCAGTTACGTTTGATCTGTTTGTGATCAGCTGTGATATATCTGTGGAATTACATACACAGAAATTCAATTTAACGATTAACGTTCAGAGTTCAGCAAAATTTTCTTCAATTTGAAACTGAAAATTTACAAATTCCACGAGAAAGTGGGAGGTAGTTACTCCAGGACTGGCAATTTAACTGCAAAATAGCATAGGTGCTCACTATATTTGAGCATAATCAGCTATGTCCAACCAGCTAATAACCACCCACATGACAGATGAGTTGTACTCATTGGAACAGACTGGCACAGACTGATTGCAAGGCAATTATTTGCAAACTTTTACCAATTTGTAATTACAGTCTGTGTGGTTTGGAGCATGATTGCTTGGAGACAGGTCACCTCTCACCAGGCAACCTGTGCAATCGCCTCCTGAAGTAGTCACTCAGAGGTTGAAGGTGTTGCATGCTCGAACTACATGCAATCAATTGCTGAATGTAATGTAAAAGAATTCAATGTCCTTACCAGGCAACCCCAGGTTTTTTTTTTTCCTTTTTCACAAGAAGGTTGGTGTCCTGTTTTTACTCTATTGTTACAGAGCTGTTAGAAGTCCTCAGCTCTCTCACTCGGGGCTAGCTAACTTGGTGAGCAAAGTCCATTGACATGCTAATTTTGGCTATTGGAAAACTAGGCCTAAAACAAAATGTTTTAACGAGAAAAACTGAACAACAAACTCCATTATATTTTAGTGCAACTGAATGCTGATCAAGACCAACCATCCATGCTCCCATGTTTTGCATAACTTCAAGCCTTAGCAGAATTTTAATGGGAACATTAGAGCAAAATTCACATGTCATGAATAAAGAACTTAGCTACAGTGGCCCAAATGGTTTTTGCAAAAGGCTGTAAACATATTTATATCGGTGGTAAAACTGAGCATTTTAACATGGTGTATCTGCAGATCGACTCTATTTTGGAGTCAGGCTCTATTGGCTCAACCAAGGAAATGCTGTGCTCAGCACTTCTGCGTTGGCATTATTTTTCACCCCCTAGACTGCTGCTTGTGATTTTCTCAGGAAATTAATCCTTTCACATATTTTAATTAAACTGATTTTTTACTTTATTTGCAGTCAGTTCTTGTGGGGGTTTTTCTCCAGGAGAAGACTGCAAATGTAACACTTTCATGGGTAAATCATAGCATGACACATACATTTTTTTCCTGCTTCTTTTCCATATGGTTTGTGTTAAATTGTTGCACGCAGAGAGAGGGCTAGACCTTTGGCAGGATGCATCTCAGCATTTCACAAGTGGCCTCATTTCTTCTGAAGTATTGCGTTTACGTCATATGTTGCACTGTATGTGGCATGTAAACATTAAAGCTTTATGCTGTTCTCCCAGAGGAACACCAGCAACTAAATATAGCATTAAAAGGCATTTATGCTCTGCTGTGTGCCACTGAACATCAGGGAGGCTTCTCTGTCATATGCACTAATAATAACTGTTTCATACTTTGGTGATTTATTAAAATGGTTTTCATATCATACAAGTATTTATTTTCCACTCGGTCAAAGTGCTTTTTTTTTTTGCCTTCTATCAACATTTAAAATGTCAGCTGACATTACAGTAAACAAAGCACTCCTGTAAAGTATACCGATCACATGATATACACAGCAGATAATTTGGAAAATAAATAAATTGTTATTTGCACACTTGTTATTTGATATTTACTTTATCAAAGGCAAATTGCCACAGATTATCACTTGTGTGCATTAGTCCGACAGTCTCGACAAAACTGCAGAGTCAAAATGAGGCCTGTCCACATTTGCCAGCAGAGGAAGGAAACCTGTCTGTTAACAGCTTCTGTCTGACTCACCAATTCAGCAAAAATGAAACAATATCGAGCATGTACAGACCTCATGCGCTAAAACTGTTTTGATACTACAATGAATAGGAAACAAAATCAGGTCTAGTTGTATGTAACTCTGTAACACGATGAATGATGGCTTTGAGGAATGTGCTTACTGTAAGACGACAGTCCTCCTGCACCTTCAAACACAGTCCACACAAATCATCACAGAAAAGAAACTTTACAGTTCAAGTAAATGTTAAACATTAGATCAATATTGGAAAATGTCATTAAGACATAAAGCTCACATTCAGCCATTGTCTTTTATTTATCCATTTCAGAGCTCATGGGAGGGAGAGAGGCGGACTGAATTTGAACCCAGCGCTAACCACTGCACCTCTGTTCCACCCTACATGAAAATTAGTATTATGTATGAGCACATATGCATGTATAGCTTCAACACTGTGGGACAAACTTCCCTTTGCCATCAGAAAGGCACAAAAACTCAGTTTAAAAGGTTTTTAAAAATCTACTTGTAAACTTTTAAAGATGATTACCCTTTTTTTCATTTTTTTTATAATGACTTTTATAAAATTTCAAGTTTAGGTTAAAGGTACTCTTCTAGTCAATTTGCAAGCTGTTTCTGAGAACAGAAAAGGCTTTAGAACATTAATAGTATTACTAAACTGATTTTAAAATATTACTCAGCTCTGATTTGCCTTGAGTCATTTTCTAAGCTTTGATGCCACCTGCTGGTAAACCACTTTGGCAGACCTCACTAAGCAGGCCCAAGCACTTTGGTTAAAAATACCAGCTCATGTTCAAAACGACTAACTTTAGTGTTTTTAGACAGCACAAATCAAAAGCCTTTTTTCAAACGCCTTTCCCCGAAGGCTTCCTTGAAACTACTCTACCCATAATGCACCTCAAACAGTAAACAGGAAACGTATGTTTTGCCGGTCGGCACGGTTGTGGCACCCGCTACTCCAGCACTGAGTGGCCCAAACACCGAAGCTGGTGGTTTACTGCTTATTTTGTATGTAGCTACATTTAATGCTAATCACAAGTCTAGCGCTGGAACACTAGTTAGCTTTTGTTTGCAGTGTAGCTAAGGTGCAACCCTCTGTGGAAATGGGTTGTGTGGGGGCGGTGTGATTTGTTTTTTTACCGTTAGTCTGCTGGCCAACTTTAAGATGCTAAACGCTAAACACAACGAGCTGTATGAATACGTGACTATTTAAACCACAGTAATTAAGACGAAAGGCTCCAGTCGTGTTGTGTTCTTGACAAATGCTAGCTAGAGTAGCTGAGCGGTTGCCAATAGAGACAGGAGGCGCTTATGTGTGTTCATTTTATGCTGCTCTTAAACCCAGAGCTGCTAACAGTGACGATGAAATGATAAATAAATAAAAAAAAATGGCAGTAAAAATGTATTCTGCTCGGTTCTGTTGCACTGTTAGCTTGATGACTACCCTTACACTGTAAACCCACCAGCACAGATTGAACATGGTAAGTCAAACTGTGCTCTCCCTCGACATTTTTTTGTATTTATTCATTGACGATGTAACGGGGTTTCATAATCTTCGAGGATCATTTCATTATCATTCACTTTTTTCATGATTATCTGCTAAATTAATAAACTTATTTTCACTGCTATTTTCAGGCTACAACGCTGAAGGGGAAAGCCTCGAAAAGTAAGTTAAACTTGTGCTATTTGAATCCTACTAACTTTCCTTCTTTTTTTTAATTTTTAATTTTTTTAAAATAAACTTTCAGGAGTATCAAAAATAAGGCCTGGGGCCCAGAATCAATTCGACAAAAAAGTTTAAACGGTCTTGTACCAAGTAGTGATTTCCGATGTTTCTGTGTATTTGTTTTAATGTGTAATGTATTTGCTTATATTGAGTGTAGCTAACATGATTTATTAAGGGGTTATGTATATAAAATAAATAAAAACACAGTGTCTTTATATAACTATTATTTTGTATTTGTTGCAATTTCTGCTCCTTTCTTGGCCAGATTACTCTTTAAAAAGACACTTTTAATGTCAGTGAGACTTAGCTGGATAAATAAAGGCTTCTATATAAATTAGTTTGCCCAAAACTGATTGCAGCTTCTACCTTGTGACAGGAATGTTGTTTGTGGCTCCAAACGACTTGATAGCAATCATGAAAGATATGTTTGACAGACAACAAGTCATTTACAAGAGTTTAAAAATGATGAATCTCTTTTGGTACAACACTGACCCGCTGGGTGGCTTTGAACAATCTAAAGCACGGCATAAAATTAGACTTTTAACTGATTTACAGCTTGATAAAGACCTCTCCCATGGTCATTCATACTACACCAAAGTAATTAAGTAATATATAGACAATTAAATGGCAGAAAAGTTAAACTTTTGTACAGTGACAGTTAGGGGAGTTTCACTGGTCTGGTCCACTTTATATTAAAGTATGTTGTATCTGGCACACAATTACATCCTTGTCCCTCGTGATTGTACCTCAGCAAAACATTGACTGTAAAATGATAAAAGCCTATTTCTACATTAAAATATAACCCAGTGTGTGTCTGTCCTGCTGATCCAAAATCATTGGATCATGAGATGTCGTACCACGACAAATACAGATATAGGCAGCAGCAGTAGTATGCCTCTCCTGCACCTTGCTGAAGTTGACTGCATACCTCTGCTGCTTTTCTAAGGTTCATTCAGGGATGATTTGCTTGACAGCTTGCTTGATGATGACAGTAAGTGAGCGCAGTTGTGCAGTTTTATCAGAATTAGTGTCTATCTTTATGTTAAAGTGTGTCATAATATTTTCTTGAATTAATTTTCCAACTAGAGCAGCCAGTAAGGACGAAAGCATCACGCGGAGGACCTATGTATAGGTAAGTTAGAAGGAAGATTTTTTGAATTGCAATGTGCCAGCTGTAAATTATTACTCCTCTTCATGTTCTGTTTTCTTTTCCTGCTCATCTGCTACTGATTATATCTTCAGCACGCTAGCACAGGAGATAAAAATGGATGGTGCGGACACTGAGGTATGTAGGATAATATGCAAACTGGGTCATATTCACCCCGTTTTTTTTTTCCTTTTGTGTTTATTTTGTCTTTTTATATTTTCTTTTGTCCAAGGACTCGGATGTGTCAGCGGCTGATCCCAGCGACATACTCAAGAGCATGAAGGTGGGTCATTAATTGAGGTTGCGGCGGCAAAGATAAAGTTCACACTGCACGTTTCACTTTTCCTCTCTGTCCTCGTGCAGGACATGGACGACATGGACGCTGACCTCTTTGCATCAAAGAAGAAGCCCAGTTCGGCTCCCGCGCAAACAAAGCCACTTGTTAGCGAAGGACCAAAGAAAGACTCTGCTGTGCTCGAGAGTAATGCAAAACCAGAGGAAGCAGGTAATTCAGTGCAGAGTGTTCTCGCATAAATTACTTTCTCATTATTAGCTCCACATTATTACCAGCTTTGAAGTTTTACATTAATAGCAGCGATCAGAAAAAGGCTTTTGTCTGCCTTTGCTTCCCTCAGATGAACCCACCAAAGAGGGGAAGAAGCCGAACTCTGCACCTTTATCCTCAGCGCGGAGTTATAAGAAGTTCACCTTCTCTGGTAAGCGAGTCTTCCCCCTCCCTGTCGTGACATCCGCTTCCTTGACTGAGCTTTGTATAAATGAACATGGTGCAGATGTGTTGTTGACTTGCAGCTTTGCTTTGTTTCTCTCAAAATGTTGCTTTAACTCAGACAGTGGTGGTGAGGATGAAGGTGTTGCTCAGACTTCTTACGCTAAAGGTACATTAGTGTGGTTGATACGTGTTTAGTCCTGTACTTGCAGTTAAGTCACATCAGTGGGTGCTTGTGGGTAGTATTTAACAGTGGAGGTGTACACTGTAAAATGTTTGCTATTCCAAATCGAATCAACAAATCTGGAAGTATACGGAAGGAATTAGATTTGCATACGCTGACACCCAAGAACAATGATCCAACTAGCAGATGGAATTGCCCTTCAGTTATTCCAATATTATATCTATACATGTAAAGGGGCAAGTATAAATAATAATTTGAACTTGTGCCTATGGATAAAGCTCATATATCCAAACTTAATGTCACAAGTTCATCTGCTCTCTTTAATTCTCTCTGCCACTGAAGTTTGTGGTGTCGTCAGAAGTAAAATGTTGTTTTTGACGGTGACTATGAACTAAAGCATAGAACATATTACAATTAAAGAGATTTTGCTCAACAATGTTCAAAAACTTTGAGTGAGCAATCGTCAGAGATTGTTGACAGACATGCAAAACACCTAAAACAACTGATTTCTGCAAAGAAAAAACTAGATTCTGTGTGATCTAGCTTGTGTACACTTACTTTTTTCACAACAGACTATTTATATTTGTATTTTGTTCAATAAATGGTAAATGGACATGATCAGAAATATTACTCAGGTTGACTGTGAGTTCGTGTGAACTGTAGCCTCAATTTCCTGTTCTTAGCTGACCGAAATCACACCCAGTATTGTATTCTGCTGTAGCCCATGTGCTTCAAGGTTTGACAGGTTCACTCAGAGATGCTTTCTGCAAAACTGGGTTTTTCAAGTTATTTGAGTTAGTGTTGCCTTCTTATCAGCTCAAAGTAATCCGTGTGCTCTCATCTGATCTCTAGCATTAACTACTCTAGATTCAAAGTCACTTAAATCAGCTTTCTTTCCCATTCGGATACAAAGTTTGAACTTCAGCAGGCCATCTTGACAACATCTGCCTACCTCAATGCACTGCCATGTGATTGGCTGATTAAATATGTGTGTTAATGAGCAATTGAAACGTGTGCCTAACAAAGTGGCCACTAAGTGTATGTTTCACAACTGGGAAATGTGTCAGTTAATGAATCCAGTTCAACAAAGTACAGTTTCAAGTTATTGTATTGGTATAGCAGATAAAAATAATAATAATAAAGTAAGTATTTAAGTGTTTTATTGCCCTTTTACACTCTGGGGCCCAAATCCATTATTCATGATATAAAGACTCTTATTTTTTGCAGATCTAGACGACCCCCTGGATGATTTGCTTCCAGGTGACTCAAAGCCTGACTTGAAATCTAGCTTCTCCAAACCTGAAAAATCTGTGCCATCTCCTTCAGCATCTCCCATTCTAAAGAATAAAACGAGTAAGCCTTAAACTTACCAGGATCCTTTAGTTTCCTTTCTTTTTTTAAATAATTGCCAAATGCTGAAGGCTTGTGTTTTATTCTTTGTTGATCAGCTAAGGCAACAAAGAAAGGCGAGCTCACGTTTGAGGATGATAAGGATGACCTAATGGATACACTCGGATTTGACAGCAATAAAAACAATCCCAAGAAACAAGAAACACCGCTTTGGTCTCCCAAGGAAAGGTAACAACTCTGTTTTCACTTTTTTTTTTTCCCCTCTCACTCTCGTTGTTGTCCTTATTTATAGCACTCAAATGATGAATAATTACTGTGGTATTGCTTTGGGCTGCAGCTAAAAACATAACCAAACTCTGACTTTACAAACTAGCCTCAGTCTGGTTTGCTAGCCTAGCTGCTTTTGTGCGTCACCTCTGTTCCCTGTTGCTCTCAGAGCCGACGCCCCTCAGAGACCTCGTACCAGAATTGATGAGATTCTGGAGAGTTTCACGTCACCGCGTCTTCTGGAGCGACCACCAACGGGCGAGAGGAAGGACGAGCTTCAGTCTCAAGAAAAGCCGCAACAGGAGAAGACGTCTGCTGGGAAAGGTGATAGAGCACCATAGTTTTGTCCTTAACTTGGCTGTAATTAAATACTATCTTAAAAAAATGAAGTAGCTAATCGTTTTCCCAACTATCAGAGCCTCGTTTAGATGATGACCTCACATTTGGATCCTATCAGCCCACACTGGGATCCACTTCTGAAGGGCGTCAGTCTCGTAGACAGTCTGTCAGGTGTGCCCAGGTTTTGTTATTTACAGTTTGCTTCATGCCTACAGCTTTCAGCAGAACAGAAGTAATCTTTTTTTTCTCACGACCAGATTTTCTACTGAGGACATGAGTGTATCTACGCCAGAAAAGAAGCCAAAGCCCACCACTCCCACATCTTCTCGACAACGCAACTCAGCCGACTGGCTGGGCCTCAAGACAGAAGATGAGCCGGTCTATCTAGAGGAGGGCATCGATAAGACAAAGAATCCAGCAGAGGCTTCAAAGAGCCCCTCGTCTCCTTTACTGGAAAGAAAGCCCTCATTCACTGGTAGCCATTCCACATCTGTTGCAAAAACACCAGAAGAGAGCTCAGCCCCAGCTGACAATACCATTAAACAGGCCAAGCCTGAGGTTTCTAAGACCCAGAGGAAAGAAGGGGATGATGAGGATGACTGGTTAGCTGGGGCACTGAGCAGGAGGAAAGCTCTGTCCGCGTTAAACACAGAGGCAAAACCATCCAAGCAGGAAGAGTCTTTCACTGACTTCAGTGTTAGGTACGGTGCAATTTGAAGACAATAACAGAAATGCTACAGAGACAGAAAGAGCATGTTCTCAGTAATGATTGATAACCTGATCTCATTTTTAGTAAACAAGTAACGTCACAAACTCCCAAAAGCAGAGAAGACACGCTTCCTTCAATCAAAGAAACGAGGTAAGGGGTTTGTTGTGTAAGTCCATTAAATCCATGTTAACGTTTTGGCCCTTTTTAAAAAAAAATGTTCCTTATATTTTATGTAGTGACACTTTTCCCGGACGCCTCGGTCCTGCTGCTCATTCCACGCCTGTCAGAGAAGAAAGGTCTAATCATGGTAGCTATCCTTCCATCTTATTAAAGTCACTGATTCAGATTGCCAGCAAATTTGCCCAATTTGCACATTTACAGCAGAAACCCTTTTGACCACTCCTCTCACACAATCATACTAGTTAATGTTAATCATTAGGCTGCTTCCCGTATACTTAAAAAACCCATCTAATACCTAATCCTACCTTGTATCACATCATTTTAAAATAGAAATAAGTCATGAGCTCATATTTTTTCTAAACCGTGTCTTCCTTTTCTCATACACTCTCCTTCTGTAGTTAACGAGTATACACCCACAGGCGAGTGTTACCTCCCCTCCACCTTAGCATCATCCCCACCAAACCCACTCCATCCATCAGCTCTTAGTTCGCCTTATCATTCAGTTTACTCTGCTAGCGATACTGATCCCTTGTTAGCCTCTGCTGTTAGCATTAGCCAGCCTCAGCTTCAGTCCAAACCCCACCACTTCCCATCCAGTACAAGATCCAAGGTGCTAACAGAGCCCACTCAGGCTTCAAATGAAACCTTGCAACAACTGCCTTTGCCCAGCCCCCTGTCTGCTGCACTGCCCGGCACAATGTGGTGTAGGTAATCTCAGGGAAACGACTCAGTTCACTAAAATACCATCAGATTTCTCTCCAGTGCCTTAATATCAGATGTAACGCCTCGGTGTGGTTGTTACTCATGTTTTTTTTTGTTTTTCCTGCAGATCCGCAGCAAAATGCAACGCTAAACACATCAGCTGCTTTCCCACAACAGGTACTGTTACCTTCATGCATCAAGGCTGACATAATTGTAATAGATATGTTTTACCTCCACCAAGGAGGTGATGTTTTTGGCACTGCTTCTGCATGTACTTGTCCTTCTGCCTGTCTGTGAACACGAAAAAATGGAGAAAAAGTCTTATAACTTAGAATCTATGATTCCTAAAAGTGCAGTGTGTATTGTCAGCATATAGAAAATGCTGTATAAAGATTTAAAATAAGTCACTGTTGACCTTTACGTCATAATCTCAAATTATTCATGTCCAGTTAACTGCAAATCAATACCTATTATCCATTACCTACGCCTACATAACAAAAGCCTGCGGTTTGTAGAGCAGTAAAAACAAGTGCAAACCTCTTTAAGTACGTTTAAAAAGAACAAAGAAAACAAAATGAGCGCAGAGGAACTACAACACCGTTCCCTTTGAAGTAAATACCACCCAAAGACAGGTTTGTAGTCTCTGAGTTTTTCTTGTTGTCGTTTTTAATGCTTTCTTCTTTGGAACAGGCATCATTTTCAGCCGACAGTCTGCAGCAGCTGCTTCTCCAAAACCAGGTAAGGACCTCCTCACTTCCAAAGACCTACTAATGAATGTAATCACCAGATTCATCCTTTGGTTTGTTTTTAATTTGGCTACTTTTTTTCAAAGCTGATGCAGACTCAGTTGCTGGGCCTAGGCGGTGTGGTTGATGCGGGACTCCTGCGGCGACTTACAGAAAAAGAACAACCTGCAGACTATCAAGCTTTACAGGCCCGCGTCATCCAGTTGGAGGGACAGGTATGTCCTCATGTGGTGACAAGAAGGATGTGAGGTGTGATGGGGGGAGCATTGTTACTGTATTTTTAATTTTAATTTTAATTTTTTTTTATCTTTAAAGTTTATCGTGTCATCATTCAGGTCAAGACTTTGCAGCTGGAGCGAGACCAAAGCCAAATGATACTGGAGAGCATGCAGCAGCGGCACAAACAGGATATGGAGCTCCTGGAGAACGCACACAAGTAGTCCATTCCTAGACCACATCAATTTATCAATTCAGTTTAGCACATGAAACTGTGGAAGTCTTCTACATACATGTGTCTGTAACCCAAGTCTCTCTGTGTATTTTCAGAGCTCGTGTGAAACTGCTCGAGGATTCGGTTGCCCAGCGGGAGACTCAAGCGCGACATGAGTGCGAAGACCTGATGGAACGCCTGGCAACGGTAACGCGAGCGGCTGAGAAGGAACGCTCAGAGCTTCAGGCTCAGTACCAGCGGAAAATGGCCCAGGCCCAGCAGGAAAGAGACTGTGAGGTGGAGAGACTCAGAGACCTTCAGAGGTAAACGTAGGAAAACCTGTTTTATGGCAGCAGGTTGACTATGAAATGAAAGCAAGAACAAATTTTCTACAGTTAGCGACAAATTTACTGGCTGTGAAGTTGTAGTTTCAAAAGACAACACCATAGGAAAGAAAGAAAAGAAAACCAGCCTTCTTTGCTTTATTGAAATTGGTTTGGGTTTTGGGATTTACTCAACTAAATTATCCAGATAACTCAGTGAAATAACTCAATAAGTCTCCAAATATTTAGTTTTTTATCGCAAATAGATGACTTTAAGGTTTAGTGTATATTTGTTGCATTGCTGCTCAGAAAATCTATCTTGGAGATGAAGAGAGACTATGAGGATCAGATCCACAGACTGAAGAGGCTAAAGGAAGAAGAGATCGATGCTGTTACAAGCGCAACATCTCAGACCAGGTAAGAAAATTCCCAAAAAGTCTAATTGACAGTCACACATTTAATGCTTTTGCTTCTTTTTCTTTTGTGCACGATATCAGCGCCAGTGCTGATACATGTAGCAAGCTTTTCGTGTATAAAAAGTTTTAATTCCACCGCCTTTGTCCAGGTCCGTGGCAGGGGTGATTGAAAGGATGGAGCAGTTCTCCTCACGGCTTGGGGAGCTTTCCTCTCGGGTGGAGAGCACGCACGAACACACCGCTCACGGCCTGGAGCAGGAGGCACGGCACAGAGACGAGCAGCTTCGAAGTATTTTACACACACACACACGCGTGTGTACTTTGTACAAAATGGGTCAAGATGCAGATTGTCCGAGAACACGATGGCTTAATGTCATTCTGTGTGTGTGTGTGTGTGTG